GAGATAACCCACAAAAACCTCTTTACCAGTTTCTGACAAAATCTTTAACTGTGTCTGTTTCTTCCTGAAGCTATTTGCTTCTTGAAACTCCCAGGTGCTTCCTGGAGTCACCACCATCCCAATCCACAGGTTTGCTAAAAAAACTGTCTATAAATACCAACCCAACATCTCAGAAATTTCTGTCCCCAAACCATACTTTTCCAAGCCTCCTTTCAGTACCGACTCTCCAGTGTTACGTGTTCCTATAGAATTGCGTCTTTCCTTCAAAGTTCCTAAGTCAATTATACGTTTGTGTGTGTGTGTATGTGTGTTTTAATAGTGCCTTTGTCCCCCAGTAAACTGGAAATTCTTTAAACACGTAAATAAATGAAACCCTATTATGTGATTCACTAATTTCTATATTTTCATTTCCTTTATATAATTAACATAAATAAATTCCCAAATTTATCATAAACATCTTTCTTACCAAAGCTCTTGTTGTTAGGTGCTGTTGAGTCAGTTCCTACTCATAGCGACCCTATGTACGATAGAACTAAACACTGCATGGTCCTGTGCCATCCTCACAATCATTGTTATGCTTGAGCCCATTATTGCAGCCACTGTGTCAATCCATCTCATTAAGGGTCTTCCTCTTTTTTGCTGACCCTCTATTTTACCAAGCATGATGTCCTTCTCCAGGGACTGATCCTTCCTGATAACATGTCCATAGTATGTGAGGCATGGTCTTGCCATCCTTGCTTCTAAGGAGCAATCTAGTTGTACTTCTTCCAAGACAGATTTGTTCTTTTGGCAGTCCATGGTATATTCAATATTCTTGACCAACACCACAATTCAAAGGCGTCAATTCTTCTTGCATATGAAGTGAATGAAAACACTATGGCTTGGGCCAGGAGCATCTTAGCCTTCAAGGTGACATCTTTGCTTTTCAACACTTTAAAGAGGTCTTTTGCAGCAGATTTGCCCAATGCGATGAGTCTTTTGATTTCTTGACTGCTGCCTCCACGAGTGTTGATTGTGGATCCAAGTAAAATGAAATCCTTGACAACTTCAATCTTTTCTCTGTTTATCATGACATTGCTTACTGGTCTAGCTGTGAGGATTTTTGTTTTCTTTATGTTGAGATGTAATCCGTACTGAAGGCTGTGGTCTTCGAAAACCAAAAAAAACAAAAGCTACGTTTTTCAATTAATTGACTATGATTTGTGAATAGAGTATGGGAAGGAAAGGAATTAACATTTCTTCAGTGCATAGTCCGTATCATGGACTCAACATACATTGTTTCATTTATGCTAACAACAGCCTGTGATATATACGTATTATATACGCCATTTGATCTCTTACAAAACTGAGGTTGGGAACACATACTTAGGAATGGCTAGAACTTGAATTTTTGCTCCAAAGTAATCTTGCTCCAAAGCTGTGTGATCTTCCCACCAGGTATACCACCTTCCCAAAGGCTAAGAGTTAAAATCCACCACTGACTCATGGAGCCATATTCTTTCTTTCCCTCCCACTCCTCTTCATGGAGAAGTAAAACTGGACACATTCAAGTTTCTTTTGAGCTGATGGGAAGAAAATGCATTCGCCAATAATTAAGCATGAAGTAAAATAATGAGGCGATAAACTACTGGAAAACTTGTATAATTGTTCAATTCTCTTACTAATCTAGTTTCAATTGTTATTAATGAACTCTAGGTCTTTGAAATGATTTACAAATGATTCTTAATATAATGATTCCCTTATTATTATTTTTTCCATAACTTTTAAGTATATGTTTAAACTAAATTTTAGAAGATTTCAGTTTACATAAACTCATCTTAATCCCTTATCAAGATCAGTGTTTCTCACGTTCTACTGAGAAATAATGTAATTGCAATTACAGGCATCTCACATTTTGTAAACAGTTTGAGTTCCAAGAGTTCACTGGTTAGTTGTTTGGAATCAGTGCGTATTTTCCCGTTGACCTAATCTAATAAAGGATGGTGATTTCCCAAGCTGGCACTTCCTTGTCCTCTCCTTCTATCCCCTGCCCTCACCCCAACAACAACAACAAAGAGAAAAGCCTTTTTAAACCAATGTGAATAACAACATTAATTTTACTGGCCTGAGTTCTAGAGCATGTTGGGGAAACCAAAAAAAACAAAAACAAAAAACAACCTGTTGTCGTTGAGTCGATTCCAACTCACAGGTGAGTCAGTTCCGACTCATCACGCAGGTGCCTGATGCACAGACTCTCTAACTTCTAGATATTTGATATCAAGGTGAGTATAGAAATGGCACCACCTCAAATATTACTTCTATCACTCAAGCTTCAAAATTCCACAGGAGTAATATTTTTCTTAGCTCATTTTTTCCCTCTATACTTTAAAGTTCCTGTAATAATATTTTCTTTTATATTGTATGTAATATTTTCAAGCAAGTTACCTTTTTTAAAATGTCATCTTCATAACTCACCTTCAAAGTAAGCATGTTTTTTGTCATATCAATTTTATGAATGAAAAAAAAAAAACTGAAGATTTGAGATAACCCACTTTCGTCGAGTTGATTCCGACTCATAGTGACCCTATAGGACAGAGTAGAACTGCCCCGTAGGGTTTCCAAGGAATGGCTGGTGGATTCAAACTGCCAACCTTTTGGTTAGCAGCTAAGCTTTAATCACTGTACCACCAGGGCTCCAGATTTGAGATACTGGGGTCAAAAAACAGCTTTATTCTAGACCTTCCATATGCCAATTCCAGGGCTATTTGTCTCATACTTTAGTCTCATAGTCACATTCATTCATCTCCCCTACCTCAGATTAAGCTCCATAAGAAGAGATATCATTTTTATTGATTTTTCCTTAGTACCAAGGATATACTATCTAGCACTTAGTAGGTACCCAATAAATGTTGAGTAAGTGAATTTCAGTCATCTTAATAGACAACAATAGCTAAGCTACATATGTCTACTGGTTAAAAAATAAGATTTCAAATTGTCTTCACATTTATGAGAGGCAGCATAGAGTAGCGGTTAAAAGCTCAAGCTAAATTGCCACATTAGTTTATCCTAACATGTTAGATTAAACCCTGAGATGTTGGAGCCTCCAATCTACAAAGTCTTAATTGCTGACTTTAGAAACCAGGGAACAGGTAGTAACAGGAGAAAATATCACAAAGGAATTATTGGCTTATCAGTCTTCCCTGTGCTTTATACAATTCCAGAAACTTAAAAATGGTTGTCAAACTTGATAAAGAATTACGTAGCTTCACGATAACTGACACATGAAAACAACAAAAAATGTCAAAACTTAACATCCCAAATCTGTGGCCCAATAGAAAGAGACTGTGAAGAATTATCTTTTGGGGTAAGTGACTTAAGTCAAAAAATTATCTAATTTCTAGATTATTTGACATTTGATTTCTTGCCTTAATTTCACTCTACTCAAAAATAAATGAGGTCACGGGGAACATAGCCCATAATCATCACTGCTTGGGATAGAATAAGATGATCTTAGGTTTATATCTAGTTTTTCAGACACAGAGTATAAAGGCCAAAAGCACAATTGACTGTTATCCCAAAGGCCACTTATAGGTGGAAGGCATCCTCGAGAGCTCTGGGAGGGAAAACGAAATAACAGAAGAGAAACCAAAATAAAACAAAACAAAAAACTCTCCAACAGCTGTGCTTTATTTCCTTCATAAGAAATGGTCTTACTCCTGACATAGGCTTATGCTTTAAACGATGATTAATGTTCATCAAACTGCTAATATAAGGTATATATTTTGCATGCATGATTTCAGTTGATTAAATCCTCACCAAAACTCTATAAGGCAACCACTATTATCTTGGAGAAATTGAGGCCTAGTACTTAACCATGGTCACACAAATAGAAATTTACTTAGCTAGGACTTGCAGAGAGGCTTTTGGAATCCAGGGCCTGTCCGCTTCACCTCTGTACTATTCTACCTGCCCAAGTACCATACTTGCATGAATTGCCACCATGGGCAAGCTGCAATGAAAAATTCTGTCTCTATTTCCTTGTTTGTGCCTAGGTTGCTAGCTTTCTCTCCTGTGTCTTATGAAACAATTTATTTGGAATCAATCGTGAGAACGCAAATCAAAAAGCTGTGAGGACACAGTGTGCAGAATAGGAGCACAACAGGGGCACCTTGGAGTGGGCCACAAGTGATTCCTGAAATATCAGCTTGCTATGGTGTGAGTCTTGTTTTCATTAAAACTAGGTTTCAGGAGAAGTTATTACATGTATTGCATCCCATCCTCTATCCCACCTCTTAACCCATATGCTCCACCATGGAAGGGTGCAGAATTCCAATCTTCATTAGTCCCCAAAAAATGATAGCCAGGGAAGGTCTCTATGAAAGAATCCAGAGAGTCATTTCATATGGTAACGTGGGATCTGAGCACTCTCTAGCCACCCCCTCCAGTTCCCAAATCATCTTACAGCCTTAGCAAAAGAGAGGAAAGAGATTTACCTGCTGCTATTGAGGCTGAAGCCTGAAAGTCATGTATGACCTTTGAAGGACTGTAATGGTTTTAATCACAGGAATGGCATCTTTTTAACAGGCAGGAGAGAAAAAAGAGCTGAACCATTCTGAAAATATTAACCAGGCTATTTTGGAGCAATGGCTATTGCCTTTGAAATCTTTCATCATAGGTCTATACTTAGACTTCAGATGAGCCCAGGGGGAGGGGAATGGGACAGTGTTAATCCCCAGTTGTTTTGAAGTTGTCCTGTAAGCAGGTTAGCATCTAAACGCCCAAAACGGGAGCCTTCAATGTTTTGTTAAATTGTGTGATTCTCTGTGTGTATTTTAACTTTCTCTGCGTATAGACTGTCACATTATTCGGGGTGGGGGGGTGACACGACTCAGTTTTCTTTCAAACTAGATGTTCCGTAGAGTACTGGCTGTAATCACATTGGGAGACTGGTGCTCCATGACAGCTAAAAGTTGGATTGAGTTTCAGGAGCTACTATATATAAAGCTAGGGTGACTTATTTCACTGCACTAATTAAATGTCATCTGGGTGGTTCCTCTAGGTTTTTGAGCCCATCACCCAGTTCAGACCGAGTCAGAAGCCAAGGAGGAGAACATGATGATGGACCTTTTTGAAACTGGCTCCTATTTCTTCTACTTGGACGGGGAAAATGTTACCCTGCAGCCGTTAGAGGTGGCAGAGGGCTCTCCTTTGTACCCAGGGAGTGATGGTACCCTGTCCCCCTGCCAGGACCAAATGCCCCCGGAAGCCGGGAGCGACAGCAGCGGCGAGGAGCATGTCCTGGCGCCCCCGGGCCTGCAGCCTCCCCACTGCCCGGGCCAATGTCTCATCTGGGCTTGCAAGACATGCAAGCGAAAATCTGCCCCCACCGACCGGCGGAAAGCCGCCACCCTGCGCGAAAGAAGGAGGCTAAAGAAAATCAACGAGGCCTTCGAGGCACTGAAGAGGCGGACTGTGGCCAACCCCAACCAAAGGCTGCCCAAGGTGGAGATTCTGCGGAGCGCCATCAGCTACATTGAGCGGCTGCAGGACCTGCTACACCGGCTGGATCAGCAGGAGAAAATGCAGGAGTTAGGGGTGGACCCCTTCAGCTACGGACTCAAGCAAGAAAATGTAAGCCCAGATGCTGCCGGGGCGGGAAATGCAAAGACTTATTAAACGTCTTCCTTGGGGCCTTAACCTCCAGCTGCTTGTTCTCCTTTCCCTTCCCCCTTCCTCCCCGTCCCCCCCCCCCGACCCCATGAACCCCTAGTGACCCGTGAAGCTGGGGTGCCGGCCATAGACAGGAAACGCGTACCCGGGCCGGAGAAAGCAGGGAGACACCTCCACCCCCGGAACTGATGTTTCTTTCCTAATCTATTGCTGCTTTGGTTTTCCCGTCAGCTTGAAGGTGCGGATTTCCTGCGCACCTGCAGCTCCCAGTGGCCAAGTGTTTCGGATCATTCCAGGGGGCTCGTGATAACTGCCAAGGAAGGTAAAATAAAAGAAAAGGCATTGGGCTGCAACAGACAACCTTCCGGCAGGGGGAGGGGGTGCGCGTTCGGGTTAGGACTTGGAGCGCGAGCGGGGACGCGCCCCGTGAGAAGCGCATCTCATGTGCGCGCAGTAGCCGGGTCCTCCTGCGCTTCGAAAGCAGCGCTGCGGGCTGCCTCGTTATTCCTTTCTTGGGCGTTATGTTTGGTGTATATGTATTTGTTTTCTGTGCTTAGGCGGGGCAAGCATTGATTCGTCAGCCTCGAGTAGCCTTCGATGCCTTTCTTCCATTGTGGACAGCATTTCCTCCGAAGAATGCAAACTCCCCAGCGTGGAGGAGGTGGTGGAGAAATAACTTAGAGCCGGCGCTTGGAACATTCTCCACGCAACAGGAAGATCCCACCCACTCTCCTTCGCCTAATCCTTTAGATTAGGACACATTACATTAATATTTTAGGAACTCAAACCCAGGAGTTTATAAAAAGGAAGGAGACATAGTCACAAAAGAAACTTCTCGGAAACTTGTGTACACTCAGAAGAAAAAGCCCTTTGGTTTAGGGCTTTTATTTTTGGAACAGCTAGTGGCTTGGCTCTAGCACCCTTACTTTGTTTGGTTGGTTGGTTTTGTAATATATTAACTTTTATTAAGGTGATCTTTTAATGCCATGTTCCAAAGAAGTTCATTCCTGTCTAAAGCAAAGTGAGAAAGTTGCTTTTTACTGTTAGTGTTATTTAATGTATTTTTCTAAATAATATTAGTACTTTCATTTTTTATGTAAACCTAAGAAATATGTTTTAAATGTGGAATGGCATATTGTATATAAAATATGCGAGGATCCTGGCATTGTAATATATTTTTTCAAAATGTTTCTATATGAACAGTTGATCTTAACTTGATTCAACTATTATATGTTGAAAAATATGAACATACTCAATATGAGCATACTGAAAATGTATGTATGTACATAAATAAAGGAAAGCCGTATTTTAAATTAGACACCACACAAGCCCATTTACTTAGGTGTTTTCTTTAAGGCTAATTTGTAGGGACCAAAATCGGTGGTTTTCTCTTTGTCTGAATTAAACTGGACATTTTTATCCGAGGTAAACCTCACTCTTCTGATCAGAAGTGAAGAGTGTGGGGAAGTCTGTCCTTTCCTCCTTTTATCAGCATCTTTTTTTGTTGTTGTTTTAATCATTCCACACCTGGAGATCTGGGTGAGATTTACTTACCCAAGATTACCAATCAAATTTTCAGTCCAGTAAAATCTTATTGTTGCAAGAAATTGCCACACAAAACTCTTTGCTTACTTCTCAAAAAAGATTTTTAGTTGATTTAGCCCAAATTACTTTCCCTCTTTGATTTTCCAGGATGCTCCCTTCTGTGGAGTACCCAGGGAATCACTGGCCTTCCAGCCAAGCCTCCGGCCCCCTCCCCAGTTTTCTTGAACTAGACTGAACGCTCAGACTGGAGTATCCTCAAGGCCTCATTTAACTAGGGTTTGTTTTCTAAATAGAAAGATAAAAGAGCAAGCAATCTGTCTCTTGAGGTGAGGGGGGAGGACTTCTTTGAAGGGAGGGTTTCTCCAAGAGAGGGAAGGGTTAAATGGTTAAAGGCAAAAGACAACACACATGAAACCTCTTAGTTGGGCCAAGCAGCAAAGCCCCAGAGAGGCTTGAAGCCCCAGGAGCTGCTCATGGTGAGGATTTTACAACGTGTGCCGGGTTTGTTTATCCTGTAACCTCAGGAAGAAACGACCACCAAGAAACACGGTGGAAAGTGAAGCAGAGGAGAAGAGCAATCCATTTCTTTTGAATTGCTACTTATCTCTTACATTCTGTAAATGGGGCTTTCACTCCCTTGTTACTCCCTCCCCCTTAATTCTACCTGACTCTTTTTCCCCCACAGCAAATTCCCAGGTCACAGATGAAAAAAATCAAACCAAATTCAGCATTCCCCAGCCCAACCTTTCTTTCTAACCCTCCAAAAGCTGGACCTTGGCCCTGAACACCTCAGAAGTTCCAGAAACCATCGCAAACAGTGCCCCTTGCAGGCAGGGAGGAGTATCTTGCCCCTCTTTCCATCTGAGACGAGGCCTCTTCCTGGGAGTAATGGTTACTTTGTTTTCTAAGCATATGGATAATTTGAGTTTCTTCTAATACTCTTAAAAAGCAGAAGATTCAAAGAGGAAAGTGACCTTTGGCATATAATCCTTCTCAAAGATGTTTGAGCCCTGGTGGCCCAGTGGTTAAGCATTGGGCTGCTAACCAAAAGGTCAGCAGTTCGAATCCACCAGCTCCTCCTTGAAAACCCTATGGGGCAGTTCCACCCTGTCCTATAGGGTCACTATGAGTTGGAATAGACTTGATGGCAGTGGGTTTTTTTAAAGGTATTTGAGAGAAGCTGGTGAAGTTAAGTAGATGCAAAGAGCTGAGCCTCTGTGGGGCTGACTACCTGGATGGAATCCAGGCTGCTACTGTGTAGCCCTGGACAAATCATTGATTCACTCTTAGTCCTGTTTCCTTGTTTATAAAATAATGGGGATGATAATAGTGCCTACCTCCTGAGGTTGTGAAGAGTCACTGAGATTAACACATGTGAAGTGCTTAGCAAAACAGAACACTTTTTTTTTTAATGAATCGAAATTGACAATTAAGAGACTTTTCTTCTACTAAAAGCTACAGTCCTTCAGATTCTCTTTTCCAATCTGCTGGCTCTGGCTGGGGAAACTATTCATAACAGTGAGAACAGCAGCCACATGAATGAGCCATTCTTAGCATTTTACATATTAACTCCATATTAACTCGTGTAATCATCTTACAACAACCTGGGAGACAGGTACTATTGTCACTTCTATTATTGTAGAGAGAGGGATCCTTTGGAACAGACAGGTTCCTGCATCTGGTAAGCACAGAGTCAGCCCTTGGAGGCAGCCAATATGGGTGGCTTTGAGCCTGTGCTCTCAAACACCAGGCACCCTAGGAGGAAGGCCTTGGGAAATTAAGAAAGAACATCTTATGGTCTGTAGAATAACTTGGGTCCCTTTGACAATTCCTAACAACTCTCAGGAGTGACTGGCTACTGAACTCCAAATTAGAGCAGCAACTTTCATTAAAAAAAAAAGAGGTAAAGCATTTCAAATTATCCAACCAGAACAAGTGTGAATATGTTTGGGTGGTGTGTATGCCCATTAATCATGCTTATTATGTATCTATGATTTTTTTTCCTGAGAGTCAATACAGATTTGCCCTAAAGTATATATATATATACACACACATCTATATTTTTAAAAATCAGATTCATTCTACAACTGAAATTAAACACTGAAAGTGACAAAGTGAATTCAGTTACTTTATTGTTTTACACGTTTGTAAGATTCGTGTTACAATCTTCTTAGCAACAGAATGCTTTAATGAATCCATGGCCTTTACTTGCTGATAGATTTTATTCAGTTTTTGCACACCAAATCCTCTCTCTCTGTCTTAGCTGGGTAACTCCGGAAATTGTTAGGAACACGTTTTCCTAAAGAAGTCTCTTCATTAAACAGAGCAAATATTTCCCAAAGACTTCATGTGACCTCGGCTGCTGTAGCTGACATGTTAAGCTTTCCGATGAAATCCTCAGTGTGTTTGCAATTAAAATGTTTTTGTTTTCTATTAATGATGATAATCTTTACCAAGGCCAAAGCCAAAACAAACAGGACTATGGAAGCAGAAAACCAAGAAGTAATAACTTGGTAAAGATAAGCAGTTTGGGATTAATTTGAGCCTCTTCCCAGAAGCGGGTATAAAATTATTGTGTATAAAATAATGAGTGATTTTCTTTTCATATTATCACAGAAATAATTTGTGGAATGTCAAACATCAGCTTTCTCAAAATAATTTTAATCACCACACCTTCTCATTGAATTCCAAGCCTGAACATTGTGGAAATCCACTTACGTCCAATGGCCTCTTTTTTTTTTTTGGACTCTACTATGCTTTGTGTCAGACAGTACGAAAATTCAGTGTCCCCAGCTACTCTTGAGACTGGCAGAGAAACCTTGGGAGCTAACATGGTTTCTATCCTTATGACATTTTTAATTTAAATTTAGAAGAATTTACCCATTTGTGCTTTTCTCTTAGTAATATTGTATCCCATTTCTTCATCATAAAGCTGTCCCCGCTCAACACCAAATCTGGGGAAAAAAAGTTTTAAACTTTGAATATCTCATTTACTAATCTAAATAAGCAATAATATAGTATTTCCTCAAAGAGCCAAGCCATCAAGACAGTCCCCCACAGGTCCATCTAGACCCTGCCTTAAACTCAAAAGAAGTGTTACAAAAGATGATCCTCAGTCCTAGAGGTTTCACTCTGAAAAAAGCAACTTTTTGGCCAGCCTAGTTCAGAGTCAGTCTCTGGGATGGAATGGCTATGCCATGTGCTGAAACAAAGATCATGCTCCAAGAACTAGCTACTTTCTCTACTCTCAAGGCTGCTAAAAATCCTTACTTAGGCCTTTGATCTCTGCTGGGAGTCTTCGAATCCAAGCAGAGGCCAATGTCTTCCTCAGCTGTCTTCTCCACAAATTCTTCCAGCAGCTCTGGCAGGTACTAATGTGTTTACTTAGGTGTGCCTGGTTCCCAGAACTAATAGCAGTTTAAAATTGTTTTGCACATTCCAAAGTCATTGATAATAAGCAAAAATCTCAAGAATAGCTCTTGGTCCAGGAATAATTAAGGGTCGGCAGGTAGGGCAGAAGTGAGTTGAAAGGGTTTATCTTTCTACTTGTACTTGGTTTCTCCCTCTAAGAGAACCATGCGGCATTTTCAATCATGCAGAATTCCTGGTGAGGATAAAATTTACTAAGAAAGGAAGTTCTGGGCATCATTTTCATCGTGTGCTCTGTCCATCAACACTAGGATTTTTGCCATAATGCTTCAACTGTAATAGATTCTGTTTAAAAAAAAAGTCGATCATAACTTAAAGGTCTTTGCAATTAAAACCAACTTATGTCTAAAATTTTAAGAAAATCAAATGTTGCATTTATCTTTTTCAGAGTGTAAAATGAAAATATATTTAAAAATACGTTAACTATCTAGTTTTACAAAACCTTGGTGGACATTTATTTACAACACCAGTCATGGCTGAGTTTTCATCCTCTGTTATGAGGCTTTCTTAATAGGCATAATGGAATATCATTTTTAACAGACTGTTTACAATTTAAATAATTGTGAGCTTTCTCTGCATGTAAGTAATTCACTTCTCTGGAGAAATTGTGGAAAGCAGATGACATTTTCATCCTTTTCTGTAAGGAGCAAAAGCCGATGTCGTCTGATTTTGAGTAAAAGGACATATTGATATCTACTTTTTAAAGCGATTTTTATCTTTCCCATACCTCCCGTTCAGTTTCCTCATTAAAAATTTATTTTTCTCTCTATCGCTCATCCAGTTTTGTATTTTTCTCTCTCAGTGTCTCCCCTGGGAGAAGAGCAACGGGATTCCTCCTGAATTGAGGGACCTCAGTCATCTTTGAGGCGCTGGCTTTCTTCTTGTTGGTATAATGCCTCCATTTTTTAAAAAATCTCTTTCTCCTCTCATCCCCTGACAGCGGTTTAAAAGTTTTGTCTCCTTTTTACTTTGGTGCGCTGGGAAGCTATTTTCAGCACTTGAGTCCCGAGAGCCCTCAACCCCGGACCGAGTTTCCCCCCTAGCAAGTCCCATTAAGTCGCCGGGCGCTTGTGTTTCCTCGGCTTCTTTAGTTCCACTCATCCGCAGCACTCTGGTAAATTTGTTTTGAGATCACCTTACCAAAGACAAGCCCTAACCTCTGAGAGCTACCATTACTGACAGAGTCCCCTGAGTGACAGCGTCTTCCCAGCGACAGAAGCGGAGAGAAAGATGTCTAGTTCCCCAGCTTTTGCTAGTCTTTGCTCTGGCGCTAAGGTCGCGCCCTGATCTGGACGGATTGAAGACGAAAACCAACAAAATCCACCTCTAGGAGCGCGAGCTCTGGGCACTAGATGCCTACTTTGCAATCGTGTGTGATCTGGAGCAAATTACCTATCCACTCCGAGCTTTGGTTACTTTCTTTCTAAAATGGGTCTAATAATAGCCCCCGTAGGGTCCTACTGGGACTCTATTGAGAGAGTATTACATGAGTTAATACTTGGAAACAGTTTAGAACAGTGCTCGGCAAGCAGTAAACTCACAGTAATTGTTAGTTACAAATACCCCACGCTGAAGGGACTGAATAAAGAGCACCTTAAGTGTCTAGTAGAAAAAAAAAAAAAAGGACGGAAAACGTTCAGAAGCATAACCTCTACCTTCCACTAAAACTGTAAGGACCAACTTTGTGGCCAAATCGTTTAAGTATGTGCATAACACTATTTTAGCTGCGGCTGAATGTGCTAACGTCCCCAATCCAAGAAAGGGTCATACTGCTGCTAACCAGTAATTGTGGGACTGGCTGAGAATCTCTGAGTGAGAATGTCTATCCACTATTGTATTTCACAGGTAGCAACGTGCGTGCATTCGAATATTTCCACCAGAGTGGATGGAAGTTCCTCCTGGCTCCTGAAGAACTTGACTCCTTTATCTGGTGTAGCCCTGGGTATAGTATTTATTTCAAAGGCATCATTTTGTTAATAGCCCCAAGTAAGGTGCAGATGGATTTCCCACTGGTCAGACGATTAAGCAGCCCGTTGGTGTGTGCGGGAGCCTGGTTTTCAAGAGGGGGATCTTATGTCTTAGGGCTGAGGCAACACGGGAGAGGGCACAGCGACTGGCACGTCGCAGCAAATCTTAGTGACTGACACCCGTCACTCCCTCACCCCCTGGTTTTCGTAGCCTTCACTTCCGGAGCCAATCTCACCTGGAAAATATTTACACCTCTCTAGCCCCTGCAGATATGGAACCAGTCAACCAGGATTGCTTTAGGAAAATAATTTGGAGGAAAAAATAATGGAACCCCCCACCCCCGGTTTTAACTTCGGAGCCACAACACTTACTGGACTGGATGGCCGTAGATCGAGGTGAGAACACTCCCTCTTCTTTTAGTGGGGCCGCGATCCCGGGTCCAAAACCCTGGACTGCGTAAGTCTATTTGTGTAGACCTTAAGTAATTGTTTTTCCTCAACATAAACTGTCCCTCCCCAAAATGATCTGAAAGTGGGTTAAGGGTGGCGGAGAACTGGCAAACGCTCATTAATAGATCCATTATCACTTTAATGGTAGCCCTCCCTTCTCGCCATCTCCCCATCAAAGTTTCAAAGGCCCTGCTGCTATTGCTTTTCTAGCAGTCTTTAGTCGCAGATGTGTGTGAAGTTACTCAGAGTTTGAGGAGTTAGAAATTTTACACGAGCGGAGAAGGATTGCTGTGCCGGCAGCTGGGACGCATCTGTAACGGTGTTAGTTTGCCTAAAAGCAGAAAATTAGCGACCCCAAAGCCCAGCTCGGCTGTTTAGTCTGTGGAAATGGCAGGGCGGAGCAGAAAGAGAGGGAGAAAGGCGACGCGCCCCTGGAAAGGGAGTTCGCCGTCTAAAATTGGGCCCCTTTGGTTGCAAATCTTAGGAAATCAGGACGGTTTTTCCTGGGCTCTGGGTCTAGATAAGGCCTAGCACAAAGAAGGAGGCGCTCAGTAAATATCTGCAGAAGGGAGAAAGGAAGAAAGCAAGGAAGGGAGGAATGTTCCCGGTCACCTCGCCTTCTTATGCCCATCTCCTTTTAGATGAACTCAAAGTCAGCCCTATCTTGGGAAAAGGAGCCTCTTTCCGACACTCTGAATAACTCAGAGCCTATGACATGACAATCTGATCAGAATTTTATCCATTTCAATCCATACAAAAAACATTCAAAAAAAAAAAAAAAAAAAAACCTCTAAATTTACTCCACGATTGAAAGTATCACTTCAAGTTTTTATCAATCGTTCTTCCGTCCAGTGGCTCACAAAGTTCCGGAGATAACTAACGTTCATGAAAAAGAAAAACAAACACCTAAAACATAAGGCCATTCCCCATGTCCAGAACGGGGGAGAAGGGTGCTCGGCTTACGGTGTCAGCTGATGGTAGGGAGTTCTATTTATTAATTACTTTTTTTAATGTGTAAGGAATGTTAAAAGTTGGATTTCATTAGTTCCTTTTGTCTGTGACACTTTTTATGTGATTACTTGTTTTAAGTTATCCAGAGAGTGCAAAGTGAGCGAGTTGGGGAGCATCCCATCCCCACCCCCTACCCCCAATAGAAACGCAGTAAAACCATTAGCGTCGAAAGGAGCAGTAAACAGCATATTGTCTCAAGAGAGGAGGCGGAGGTTTGCCCAGACAGCCCCGGCGGGGGTTGCGGTGGGATATGCTAATAGGGCCAGGCCACTGAGGCCGGCCTCCTCCCCCAAGACTATATAAAGAGCCCCAACCCCAGCGCGGCAGACCCTGGCCGCCAGGCGTCTGTCCTTGTTTATTATCGGAGAAACCCACGAGGGGAGCGGAGCTCCAGCCCGGGTTCGCCTGCCAGCGGCGGCTCCAGGTTCCCATTCCTCGCCTATCTCTGTTGCTGCCATCCAGGTGCACGGCCTCCCTCTGCGCGGGAAGATGGACGTGATGGATGGCTGCCAGTTCTCGCCATCTGAATATTTCTACGATGGCTCCTGCATCCCGTCCCCCGAGGGAGATTTCGGGGACGAGTTCGAGCCCCGAGTAGCCGCCTTTGGGGCGCACAAAGCAGAGTTGCAAGGCTCAGACGAGGATGAGCACGTGCGAGCGCCTACAGGCCACCACCAGGCTGGCCACTGCCTCATGTGGGCATGCAAGGCGTGCAAAAGGAAGGCCACCACCATGGACCGGCGGAAGGCAGCCACCATGCGCGAGCGGAGGCGCCTGAAGAAGGTTAACCAAGCTTTTGAGACACTCAAGAGATGCACCACGACCAACCCCAACCAGAGGCTTCCCAAGGTGGAGATACTCAGGAACGCCATCCGCTACATCGAGAGCTTGCAGGAGCTGCTGAGGGAGCAGGTGGAGAACTACTATAGCCTTCCAGGACAGAGCTGCTCTGAGCCCACCAGCCCCACCTCCAACTGCTCTGATGGCATGGTAAGAGGTACCCCTGGTGCCCACTCGGCCACCTCCGTCATTTTTAAAAATCCTTACACCTCATTTAAACCAGGTGTGACAACGAAATTTTCAATGGTCATTGGTGGATAGTTGGGGGATTGAGGGCGGGGACAGTTATTGTAAGAGAAGAGAGGTGTCCACATTTAGAATGATGCCAGGCAAGTGTTGAGCAGGATTTTAGTTTGACTTCTTACTAGAGTCTAGGTGTGCATTGTAGAATCCTGGCATGCCAGGTAGGTGGCTGTGAATGATCAATCAGAAGTTTTCTCCATCACTCAGTTTATTTCCAGAATATACCACTAGCAGACCCTGACACACACTAACATCTAAAGGCAAGGGTCAGAAGCTCCCATTGTCTCACAGTTAGTAACTTAATGATAAAATGAAAAAAAAAAAAAAAAAAAAATTCCCATATCGCCACAGTCCCTGCCCTACTGAAGCCTAGCTGGAAGATTATGATGCATTCTTTTTGGAGAGAGTTTGCGCAATTGCTGCCAGGTTTTAATGTGTTTTTGCCCTGGGAAAGTGTTCTCTCCTGAATTAGTGTGGCTTCCTTCTACTCCAATCCATTTTGCATGGTTAACCCAATGCACATTGCTGCTGAATTCCACCCCCCTCTTCCCTGTGCTGCCGCTCTCCTATTCTCCAAGCACAGAGATTAACCTAAATGCCCTCACAATTCGGTGAGGGCTAACCTTTTTTAGAAGGAGCCCTGGTGGCACAGTGGTTAAGCGCTCAGCTACTAGCTGAAAGGTTGGTGGTTCGAACCCACCAGCTACTCTGCTGGAGACAGATGCGACAGTCTGCTTCCACAAAGTTTACAGCCTTGGAAACCCTACAGGGCAGCTCTGCTCTGTCCTGTAGGGTATTATGAGTTGGAATGAACTCAACAGCAGTGGGTTTGGTAGGTTTGAACCCTTCCTAAAACAGGGCAATGAAGGTGAATGAGAGTTGTCAATTTATGAGCTAGTGGGCAAGCACTGCCTCACCCTAGGTCAGAGCATCTTTTGCCAAGGACTGAAATAAACGTCTTCTTTTGTGTCTTGTATTATAGGCTGAGTGTAACAGCCCCGTCTGGTCCAGAAAGAGCAGCAGTTTTGATAGCATCTACTGTCCTGATGTACCAAATGGTAAGAACTGATGACTTCAGAGAAGTTGAAAGGCCAGTTCAACCTCACAACTCAGCCTATCAAAGCAGGGTCTGTTCTTCCAGGCAGATCTGGGGAAGGAAATAGGAGAGATGGTTCTTATGGGGAGGCTTTGGCAGAACAAAATACATACACATCTTCTGCTCCAAATTTCCCCCAACACACACACATATGCATTTTTACCTGCAGTATTACCAGGAGGCTTACCCTCTCAACCAGCCCTGTGAACTGCAGGTATTTGCTGCAAATTTCTCCATCAGGCTTTCTGTGACCGCCTGGCTTTTGGGTGTCAAAGGAGCTGACCTACAGTTTAAAGGGCAATGTAAGCAAGTCTATTTGGGGCTATATATTTTTTTAATGCTTTTCTCCTTCCATCCTTAGTATACTCCACAGATAAAAGCTCCTTATCCAGCTTGGATTGCTTATCCAGCATAGTGGATCGGATCACCTCCTCAGAGCAACCTGGGTTGTCTCTCCAGGACCCTGCCTCTCTCTCCCCAGTGGCCAGCATCGATTCACAGCCTGCAACCCCAGGGGCCTCTAGTTCCAGGCTCATCTATCATGTGCTATGAACTAAAAATCTAATTTAGATCAATTCTGCTTGAAGGGCCTGTTACCCAAGGAGGACAGAGGCCCAAAAAGTCCAAAAACAAGACAACTTGTAAATAAAGATTTCCTTTCAGTTGTAAATTTGTAAATATTATCTTGCCACTTTATAAGAAAGTGTATTTAACTGAGGAGTCACCATTGCAATTAATACTTTCCTTTATTTCTTTTTTTGTTTTGTTTTAGGTACATAGTTTCAGTAATATTGTTTCTGTTAGGGAGCAATTCAATCGAAGGTAGCTTGTTGCAATGCTTAACTTATATATTTTTAAATATTGCTTATCAAAATATCTGGTGTTTAGATCTTCATTTTTTTCTTCAAATCATTCAAATATCTAGGGATCATTTACAGGGGATTTTAAATATATTTAACTTTTACTTTTCTCTTTAATCCTTTGGTTATATTGTATTAAATAAAAACATAACAATACTGCTTAATACTATATATTTTTATCTTTTTTTTTAATAAGAAATGCATCATTTTGACATAAGCACAAAACAGTACTTGTGGATAATTTCAAGATATAAGACATTTTGGAAATTCCACCATAAATAAAATTATTTACTAGAACATATATTTTGGATTGTGATTTTTTAAAAGAGCACCCCTATGGAATTAGCAATCATTGACATGAAATCTTTAAGTATGGGCTGACAATACCCAAAGTAGTCGGCTCTGTAGATAAATAACCAATATTCACCATTTGATAGACACAGTTTAGGTTCTGTTGATACCACAAATGAAAATACCATATACACATTTGAAACATATTTCAAGGGAGCCTGCTAAGCAAATTCTTTCCCTTACCTTGGTACTATACTATTTAATGTCAAGTTTTGTGTGTGTGTGTTTGTGTGGGTGTGGTGAGGGTAGGGGAAGTTTTTCAGGACAATGACATATGTTTAAACAAAAAAGAATTTACTACAATCACATTGGTCCCTATAAACCAAACCAAACCCATTGTCCTTGAGTAGATTCTGACTCATAGCAATCCTATAGGACAGAGTTAGGACCGCCCCATAGGGTTTCCAAGGGTCGCTATGAGTCGGAATCGACTTGATGGCAATTGGTTTTGGTTTTAATCTTTAGGAAGCAGACTGCCACATCTTTCTCCTGCAGTGTGCCTGGTGGATTTGAACCACTGACCTTTCAGTTAGCAGCTGACTACTTAACCACTGCACCACCAGGGCGCCTTTGATTCCTATAGTACATTAGAAATCACAGTCTAGGTCACATTTACTTTTTGCATCTCCTAGAAAATATCTTGATACATTAGTTTACTAATATTGTCAATAACATATTTAAAGATATTGGGCTGATTTTTCGTGTGTGTGTGTGTGTGTGTGTGTGTGTGTGTGTTGTTAGGCTCTTTACATAAGAACACTTACATTAACTGTAGTAAAAGGAAGTAGATTGCAGTTGCCTTCCTGTTCTCCCAACATTTAAAATTTATTTTATTAATCATATTAATGTGTATGTGTGATGGTCCTGTGTGTTTTATATTTCACCACCTTAAGTCTCCTTTAGAAAGAATTGAGATGCAAAGAAAAGAAAATAAGAATTAGGTTTACACAATCATTGGGATATTTCTCACAAGTGCTTACCATCAAGACAGAAAAAATGAAATCCCTGAAGTACCTAAAGTAGCTGTTCACAGAGAGTAAATATAAATAATTGTTTCATCCTCTAATTTATACATTAGTTTAAAATTGCTAAGGGTTGGTGGTTACATAAATCAATCAAGCAAAGCATACAGACTCATTGCTAGAACTTGTCAATGTTACTGTTCTCAAGAGTTTCCCCTTTTCTCAGATGTGATTTTCTTCTGCTTATCCCGTCATCAGGCTTCAACGAATGGAAATTATTCCAGGGAGGAAAGAAGAAGGGTGGAGTTTAAAAAAAAATGTCATAGCCACTGTCTCTGTTAGCTTTATACCCTGACATGGGATGCTGATTTTTGGCACACAGATAAGTCTTTCTTAATCCATGATTTGTGAATGTGAGAATTTCAGGTGAAGAAAACCCAAGAGGGCATGAACGAGTTTCATATATAGTTTCAACATAAATTTGAGTGACTCACTTTGTTGGACACTGTGCTAGGTCCATTTTCTTTTTTATACTTCTTCCGAAAAGTTGGAGACTTGTTCTTACAGAATCTGAATGGAAGGATTATCTTGTTCTTTTCAAGTTCAATTTTTAAACACATTACCATACTCTGTTCCATTTAATACAATCATAGACTATAATGTAATTTTTAATTCAGGTGAAAAAGATTAACTTTCTTACCACACTCCACTTATTTCCATAACTTTGCAAGTGTATATAATGTTATCAGTGAATATTACAATGGCTCAAAGTATTAAAGTATTTGGTTAGAGCTTTTCCAGTTATCTACATTTAATATAGGTGGTGATAAGAGTGTGATTAAAGACAATACTCTCCACGGAAGCTTGCTCAATTAACACCTTTTCCAATGTGCTGATAGTGAAGGCTGTCTTCTATTCATCAAACAGCTCAGCACAACACATCACGTGTAGTCATATATACTTCTTTATTATCAGGGGACCTTTGGGAATTGGCCCTTTAATGGTGCAGCTCTAGAAATGAAAACTTTTCACCAAGAAAGCAGGAAAACGGAAGAAACAAAACAACAACAAAACCAGGAGTGGGGCTAGCAGAAGATTCAAGTAAGAACAGGACTTTTTCATCTATAAATCCCCTGGAGTAACAGTTGGACTGCCTCTGGGCTTCTGTCAGATCACTCAACCTCAGCTGGTAGAAAACATGCAACCAACAGTTAAATTTCTAGGAACAACTAGAACAATGCTTCCTTCCCCCTCTGCAAACTTGAAAAAGGGGAGGTTCCCAGGAAATGAGAGTCGAAAGAGACACATTTCTCCTCATGTCTGCGTAAGGCAAGCTCACTGAGTTACATAGGAAAACTGAGTCCAGTGAGGTTATGAGAATTACGAAGTGCTATTTGGAAGCAAGTTGCTATATAAATCAAGGTGTCTTGATTGTTCCCATTTTCTTATCAGTGACCACATTATACTCATAATGTCCTCTTTAAAATGGAATTCCTACAGGTACTTAATCTGACAGTGGTATTTCCTGAAATTCTCTCTTTGGGGTTATAACAGTTACTAGATTAAAGTGGTAATTTAATTCTCTGACTTGCGGAGGTGGTATCTCTGGCAATGTTATTAGAGGGCAGCTATTTGTAACTTCAGAAAAGCCATGCTCAAATGACAATGTGCCCCTGAAAATATCACCACTGAATGTTCCCACATCTTCACAAAAAAGCACAGAGCATCATATTCCTTTCCTTTGAGAGTTGTGATTATAGAGATTTTAGTTGACTAGAGATTTAATTGTTTAACATCATATATTTGCCAAGCAAAAGATCTGGAATTTAATCTAAAATCTAAACTGGGTCTAAAATTATTGTTGTACTTCTCTTTTTACTTTTTAACTTTAGTTGTCACATCTGTAAAATGGGGTAAGTGATAACTTGTATGATTATAAACAAAGATCACTAAAATTATTGTGGTGTTAAAACCTATTAAAATAATGTTTATAAGGAGAAAATAAGCAAATTCCTATTTCCATTTATGCTACATAATTTACTACATTACATATTAAGCGAGCACTAATGTGGCGCAGGAGCCCTGGTGGCGCAGTGGTTAAAGTACTCGGTGGCTAACCAAAAGGTCGACAGTTCGAACCCACCAGTCGCTCTGGGGAGAAAGATGTGGCAGTCTGCTTCCATAAAGATTTACAGCCTTGGAAACTCTATCGGGCAGTTCTACTCTGTCCTACAGGGTTGTTAAGAGTTGCTATGAGTCTCAGTGAGAAGCTATGAGTCGTAATGACTCGATGGCATAAAACAACAACAAAGTGGTGTGAACAGTTAAGCGCTTAACTACCGGCTGAAAAGGTGGCAGTTCAAACCTACCCAGAAGCCCCCAAAAGACAGGCCTGGTGATCTGCTTCTGAAAGATCACAGTTTTGAAAACCATATGGAGCTGTTCTACTCTGCACACGTGGCGTCGCCATGAGTCAAAATCAATTTGAAGGCAGCTAACAACAGCAAATGATGAAGTAGCAACTAGCAATTACTGAGTGCTTATCTTTATGTAAATAAGGAGACTGAAGTTTAAAGACTTTAATAATTTTCCCAAGAATACGTATCTGGCATGTTTTAGAGTCTGCACTTTAAACCTGGTTTTTCCATGCCCAGAGCTTGAGTTTTACGTAACACTGACGTCAGCACAATGGAAGGAGTCAAAAGAAATATACATTATCTCTGTATTCAAGAGATTTACAGCTTATATGATACACGCAATTAATCAATTAAGGAAAACTATTCAAACAATTAATTTAAAATATTAGATTCCACACTGAAATTATGCTATTAAACCTAATGCAACTTTTCTTTCACAGTGTAGTTGATTGCAGGGTTTCTAATCTCTAACATAACCTTGACTCCTAGTACATCAAAGCCAACTTCCTACCTAAATCAAGCGTGTGGACTGTCACTGACATATGATTTAGAGACTCTAACTGATACTAGAAGACAAAAAGAACATAAACTCAAGAACAGCATGAACCAAATTGTAAATGTTCCTTTTTTTTTCTTCTGTTATCTCTGAGGTTTCATTCTTTTGTTTCTTGATCATTCTGTTATTGTGGTTTTAGGTGTGCATATTTTATGTTATCTGGGGAGAGATATTAGGTTCTCTGAACCCAGTTTTCTAATTTAAGGGCATGAAGTATCTCTAATGTTCTTCTCTGAATGTTGGTGTTATGGATTGAATTGTGTCCCCCAAAAATCGGTGTCAACTGGGCTAGGCCATGATTCCCAGCATTATGTGGTTATCTTCCATTTTGTGATGATGTAATTATCCTATGGGTTGTAAATACTAGCCTCTATGCTTGTGGTTGTGATCCTATTTGGGAGTGAACTGTCTGTTATGTTAATGAGGCAGGATTAGAGGCAGTTATATTAATGAGGCAGGACATAATTTACATTTGTATTTTGAGTCAATCTCTTGTGTGATATAAAAGAGAGAAGCAAGCAGAGAGAAGAGGAACCTCATTATCACCAAGCAAAAAGAGCCAGGAGTGGGGTGTGTCCTTTGGACCCAAGATCCCTGTGCTAAGAAGCTCCTAGACCAGGGGAAGATTGATGCCAAGGACATTTCCACAGAGCCGACAGAAAGACAAAGGCTTCCCCTTGAACTAGCACCCTGAATTCGGACTTCTAGCTCCTAAACTGTGAGAGAATAAATTTGTTAAAGACATCCACTTGTGGTATTTCTGTTACAGCAGCACTAGATAACTAAGACACTTGGTACTGATGTGTTTTCAGGGAATAAACTGATTCAGGTAGGAAAGAACCTTTTTCTTTTCAATGGAAGCTAACTCCCATTAAATCCAATGGGCAATTATCACATGTTGTGAAAATATACTGAAAAAATAAATTAGTGACAAGTCATTGTCATAAAGAGCACATCTGGAAGACTATAGAAATGAGCATTCAAGTATGTATGGCCTGTCCAAGGGAGAGC